GTTTCCCTCCTGCTGCTCCATGGGGCTCATTTTATGAAACTTGTAAGTGTGGGCAGAGTCTATGGGTACAGAAATTACTGAGAAAACTGATAAACTTTTTTGGAAACAAGATACATTCCGGAAAAGCATGTTCCACTTTCATAGTGCTGCAGCTAAGATGGTACATATACAGGTGATTAAAATACAGAAACAACAAACCTTGAAACAGGAAACATTTCCTGTAGTTGCTGTGGTGTTAAGGCCAAATTAGAACAACATTAAGAATTTACAAATTTAATTTACAAGTTTAGAAGCATTAAAGCTGTTTTAATGATATTTGCAAAGTGATTTCAAATCTCTACCTTCTCACTGAGTGAAAGCAGCAGCACCTGACTGACAGGAGACTACTTCAGCTACTGCAAATGGCAGCAAGAACCATGCAAACCCCTGCAGCACCTGAAACTTAGTTCCCTGTTTCTGCTTAGCAGAGCTGGGCAGAAGACAGCACTGCTCTTGGTGGCCACGTGTATTCTTAGCTATTAGCCCTCAAGAAACAAAGAAAGCCTCAACAAGTTATAACCTGTAGCACCTGCCTGTACTTTGCTCTTATCTCTTCCTTATTTCAGACCCAAACCAAAATGCTTTCACTAAACACCATTTGATTAATAATCCTATAGACTTGTTATGTTAAAAGCAGGTTTTAACAGAGGTTCTTAATTTCTAAAATACATGACAGTCCTGAATCTCATAGTTCAGAAGCAAATACTTTACTGGCTTTTCTCCAAATAATGCAGAAAAATAAGATATCCCAGGGCCATACCTGCAGCAGTCTGCAAAAAGCTCCTCCCCACTAAACAGAAACAAGAAAAAAACAACAGTCTGGCCCAAAGGAAAACACAGATTGAGCCCAAAGGGAAGAGGCTCTTAGAGCTCAAGAAGCTGTTGGCTAATGCAACTGCCCTGAACTCCTACACACTGAATGTCACAAAAGTGATCTTTAGCTCTGGCCAGACTTTACTCCTAGCAATAAAACATTTAGCCCTTCAAGTAACTCCTCACGTATTGACTTTTCAGGGCTGTGTTCTGAGTCTTAAAATGACAGCTGCTCCCTTAAACTAGTGGCTGAATGCAATTCCCTTCTTTTCAGATGAACACCATTTTATACCAAATGATGTAACATCTATTGTGCAAAAGGCATGAGATGCTTTATCGAGTACCAGGTTCCTACAGAAGTACAATAAACAAAATAATTTAGTTTGTCCAAATCATTATTTTTGTTCCTGTTTACCCTAACCTCAAGGGGGGGTGGAAATTATCTAAGCAAAAGAACATCTACAACCTGTGTAACCCTCAGATAAGAGGTAAAGATTATTTAACTTTTTTTTTTGCTTACTGAAGTCTCTGTCAGGAATTTCCACTGCTGTCACACGGGGTCAGACCAAAGTCCCACCCAGCTCAGTATCTTTGTCCCGAGTGATCAATACTGGAGGAGCATAAGCTCCTCGGCACCTTTGTGATGTGATGACTGTAACCATGTGCATTTTCATGGTGGGAGGGAATAACAGCAACATAATGCACAGTGACAGTTGTGTCTTTGATTTTTGCTACTTTCAGAGACTAATACAATTATGAGAAAACAAAATAAAGGGGTTTGATTTAGAAAAGAGGTTGAAAGCACGTGCAAGTGGGCTAAATATTTGTTTGGTTTAAGATGTGTTAGTATTTATGCTTTGTGACACCTTTCAGAGAAACCTTGGCATAACAGATCTTAATTTGTGCCTTTGTTTGAAATTGACGAATAAGGAGTAACATCTTATTAAATGGCAAAGCCACCTTTGTGGACTTGGGCTATCAGACTACCTCTGAGCAAAACTCAAACAAGATTGACTAAATGGCAGCAACGCTTCTAGTACATAGGCCACTGGCAAAGGAGCACAAAAGGTCTTCTTTCATCTGTCACTCAACTTTTACCCAGAACATTCAGTTCAAGTCCTGAGCTCATAACGCAACTGTCATGAAGTTGCAGGTCTAGTGTAACAAGTTAATGCTGCACTCACAGTGCTACATTTGGGCTAAAATCTAGTAAGTTATCTTGGTATTAAATTTAATTTCAAATTAATGTGAAAGCTAGAGATCACTTTGGTCAAAGAGTAACTAGTATGCTGCTTCAAAGTTCCTCAAAGCAGTTTTACTTTCAATTCAACATCTGTTTACCGAAGCCATACAGTATGGCTGAGAGGATTCCAGCTAACACTTCATTTATAAAGGTAAATTAACAGCATCTGTCTCCTCAAGGGAGGCCCAGTCCCTCTTGGGGACTTCACTGCTGTAGTCACTTGCAGTGGGGAACTTTGAGTGAGTAACGCCACTTCCAGGGAACACAGGGGAGCTGAACTTCCCCGGTTCTCACCTGCAGATTTTAATGCTCTTTTATCTTCTCACACAGAAGTGTTAAGTAGCTTTGCACAAAACTGCTCACAATCTAACAGCTTTAGAAGGTGCGTATTTTGGTAAGACTCTCTTGTTTGATTGCTGGCATTTTGGTAATGATTAACACCTCTACAAGGACAAGTTGTGAAAACTGGGACCGGTTTGGGGCAACAAATCCCAGCCTTCAAAAAGTCTTTCCACTTTTTTTTTCCTGTACCCTCATCCCCCTCAGCAAAGACTTAACCACTTGTTTCAGAAATTCAATCTAGGCTTTCCAGTATACACGATTAGTTTTCAGTGCAGCAAGGTTGCTGATGTAATTCTTCCATCAGTGCTGTGTTTAACCATGAACCAGAAAGTCATAATAAAAGCCTGCCATACTTGTTACAGTTTCTTCTTAAATATGTTCCTGACCTCTTTACAAAACAGGAATGATGGCAGTGGGAAATCCGAGGGTTTGAACAGCACTGCCTCCAACTTTGCTGTATCCACCCTTTGCAGATTACACACAGCCTGGACTTGAAATGGCATGTTTGTGGGAATTTCCAGCTGACACTAAATATGGGGATTTATAACAGAGATGTTCCTGACTGCTTTCAAATGTTCCTTTTTAAATGCTAACACAACATGGCACTCCATGTAACACAGGAAATGTTTACAATCTTGCTGCATCTCACAAATGTGAACTGATCATTTGCATATGGCTTGAATATTTAAGTCTTTTTTTGGTAAATATATATTGATGCTGGGTGAGGCATAATTTAGAGGAAAAGCTATGGCATAACTTAGAGGGGAAGTTAGGGAAGCTTTACTGTACAGAATTAGGAAGGGCATTCTGGCATAAGATGACAGGAGAAGCAGCATGAGAGAAGCAGCAAGAGGGATAGAGCATGAAAGAAAGAAGGGAAAATAAGACTGGAATTAAATTCTTTGAACAGATATTAATAGCATTTTTTTCACTTCCAGAACTAATCCTTGACTTTTAATGTCTACTGTGCCAGTCAAACTTCCTGCATATGGTGAAAAATGTATTTCTTTTGAGATTTTTGTGCATTACAGTTCATATGCACGACACATACTTGAAATACAATTCTGTAATGAATGCAGACTTACTGGCTACATTTACCTTTATCGGTGCCACTATGAGCTCAGTAGATCTTATGTCACAAAACAAAAGTTCCACTGTGCTCCGGTATGAAAAGCTTTTGTAGTGTCAGATGACTGTGCATGTGACTGGAGTAGTTACCCATGGCTGCACCGCGCCAAAAAAAGACTACACATAATGCCAGCTCTATACTTCTGAAAGGAGAGAGGGAAGCTTCTGCTGGAGTGTAAGATGGCAGTTCTCCTTAATAACTTCCTACAGAAAATGTTAGACTTCTATACTGCTGCTGTTGGTAATCTGTCATATCACCTATGAAACCCCAAATAAGTAATTGATTACAAGAGAGCTGTGTGCTCTTGCAAGGCTAAATGCACAAACTAGTATTTATGGAGGCTGCTCAAGTCAATTATTTTTGGTTTTGATGAGCAGAGGCCAAGAGGAAAGTAAGACTTCCCAAACTGTTTTGCCCCATATGTAAAGCTGGCCTTCTGGAACACTTCTAAGACACAGAGGCTCAGTTAAATATGTAAAACATAGGTTATTTCTAGAACTATCTGCTCAGTAATTATGGGTGAATCATATAGACAAACCTTTATTAAGGTACTTGAAACTTATACTTTTTCCTTGTGGTGATGTCAATCTGTGGTACCTGGTAGTCCCCTAAAAGAGATGATCCCTCCAACTGTTGAGCTTGGAAAATGTGTTAAAAGGCATTTTGCTGATGAAGCTCAGACCCTCTCTTTTGCAAACAATTCAGAACGTATCAGCAAACTAACCTTAAATCCATGCTGTTCTCAAATAACATTGCTTGTTAGTTTTGACCACTATGCAAAGACTAGAGTCCTACCAAAAGACAACAGTTTCACAAACAGCCAAGTAATAACTTTATAAGTATATCAGCTTCTCTGTGCGTAGGTTTTTTTGCAGCTCCAGATACTATCACAAGAATCACTTGTAACAAGTTTCATCTTGATGGAGTCAAGCTGTGTTCTGTGCCTTCCTCCCCTCCCCTGCCCCCTGTCACTTGGGAAGGTAGTTCCCATTTGCCTGTGTCCACTCACGAACTTGAGAAAGTATTGGGTTTACTCCTGCTCTACTTGAGAAACGTGGCTAAGAATGAACTGGGTATGTGTTTTATATCATCTCATTATAAATCTGAGTAAACACTTGAGTGTTTATTCAGTATATATGCATAACAGACATAATTTGGTGCTCATGATTATTGTTATTCCTGTGCAAGTTGAAAAAAATCCAATTTAATTCAGCTGTTTTGGTTTTTTAAGTGTAGGTTTTCCTTAAGTAGTCCTAGCTGTGTGAAAAACTTTGTGTGCCTTAGGGGATATTGAACTAATAGGTCTTACCTAAGTGTACCATTTTTACACTGCCAATTTCCAGAGCAGGACAGTATTTAGTAAAAGTAACGAGAAATCTAGTAACTAGGATAAATTACAATAAGAGGACAACTAGAAACGTTTTGCTACCCTACCAGTGCTTTTGTACAGCATTCCTGTCAAGGTTCCAGCCGCTATGGTGTTCAGGTCGTCTTCTGCACCTCGTGTTTTTTCAATGATGACTCCAAATGCACTGTACAGTAGAGCTGGGAAAGAAATGTATTAAAAAATCCAAGTTAAAACTCCCATCCTCTGAGACACAAAGCTTAGAATCCAGGCTTGGTGTGACTATTTAGACTGTGCTTCTGGAGCACAGATTTTCTGTTTATTTTAAGGAGAGGAATCCTCTGCAAAATCCCATCTTTGGTGGTTTTTTTTCCAGATCTATTTTTATTTTACAGATACTTTTTCTTTCTCTAGCTATAGTTTGGTTACAAAGTAGCATTCTTCATAACATCTAGTACCGCCTCAAGACATGATAAATATGCGATATAAAGCCCTGACTAAAGTTTAAGCCCATTTGGCTACTTCAGATTTATTTAAAAAAACTCTTGAGGGCTTAACTTTATACTGGCAGGCTTTGTACTGTCTTTTGTGGATGGCATGAAACTGAACTCCACACTTTCTTGTCTTTTGTGGATGGCATGAAACTGAACTCAACAACACTTTCGAGGTACCACAGAAAACTGTTGCCCATATGTGACTGAAATGAAAGGCGAGTTAGCATTCAGATCACGTCATCAGGGGCTGGAGTGCGATGGGCTACATTCCCTTTAAAAATGACTACTAGATTGCTACAACACTTTCGAGGTACCACAGAAAACTGTTGCCCATATGTGACTGAAATGAAAGGCGAGTTAGCATTCAGATCACGTCATCAGGGGCTGGAGTGCGATGGGCTACATTCCCTTTAAAAATGACTACTAGATTGCTTGGGATTTGACATTTACAGCTGCTCTACCTCTGCCTGCATAGGGAAACTTTGGCCCTGGAGGGTCTTTTGTTTCGGGAGAACTTTGGGGACTGGAAAGGGTCCTGGAAAGGGTTAGAAAGAGAAATGTACAGACTTTTAGTATGGATGCATATATAATCTATGTATTTTGATGAAGGGAGAAGGCACCCCCATCCTCACCCCTCCTGGTATAATTGTATTTCGTGCTGACAAACAACAGTAGAGTATGTCACCATTTTAAAGTGATAAAGACACCATGCCACTTTAATTCATCCTTTGTCCTCCAAGAATTTGAAGCCTTTACTTCTGCCAAAAAGCGCATAAATCCTTCACAAGCAACCATATTAGTGCTGCTGAATTGAACAGTAGCATATTTCTCCATTCAGCATAGGCAATGGTATTTATCTTGTCTTTAACAGCGAGGGGAAGGAAAAGCTGAATTCAGTAACATTTTAAAAAATAGTTTAACGCAGATGTTACTACCTCTGTTCAGGAACAGAATGACAAAAATTGTCAGTAGTGACAAAAGGAATCTTTGAGGTACACAAGCGAAGTAAGATGCAAAAATACTTCAGCTCCTTGAAAGGAACTTCTCTGGTATCTAGGACAAGGCAGAGCTACACCAAATCCCAAAAATATCAAGTTCTGTTTAACTCTAGCTTGGGAGGTCATATTTTCATAAGAAAAATAAGTTGCTACTGGAATGCACAAACATTTTCTTGAGTAATCTTTCTTCAAACACAGCTGAAAAAACCTGTTAATGTGTCACTTAACTTGGAACCTTGAACTGCAGTGTGCCTGCATCTCCATTTTCAGATATTTTGATTAGATTTGGAATAGAAAATAAGAAAGACCCACAAAACACAACAAAAAAACCCATCTCACCAGAAAACTCATGAGGCAATATGCATCTCTTATGAAAGTGACCTCCTAACTGCAGTTCAGAACCCCATCTCTAACCATGGCCTCTATATTATGCCTTAAAAGCTGATGCATTGAATTAAATGGCAAGCTAATGTACTCTTTAGAAATAAGACTGAAGCAAAATGTAATAAATGCAACTTAGCCTATGCTTGGATGCATTTTCCAAAATTCAAACAAATGTAAACTGGGTTATAACATGATGTAATCTCTGTTTTCAATATTGCTAATTCTTCTTCTATTACCACTCTGTGGGACAATGAGTTCCATTATTAATCAATTTCAAAATAATTTCATCAGTTTTGGATTTCTCCTTTCAAAGTAACTCAGCATCCTTTGGTCATTTAAGAATGTGGGGGGGGAGAAGCCAAATAGCTTATATCCTCTAGGGCATCAGTTATTATCAATTATTCCACTGACTTTTATGAAACCATCTGAAGTTGTTTTTATGAGGCAACTGATGTGATTTTTATTTCCAACCCCCTCCCCCACCAAACCTCGGTTCACAGAAGTTTCTTTCTCATACATCAGGGTTTCGATAATTTTCGTTTTTATTTTTTCTAACCCGTATCAGTTACAAGCAACATTTAGATTTAAAGTGGGTGTTATCATACATTATTTTTCTAGCTAAGCTACCATCATAAAAGGATAAATCTGCACAGTCACTATCACATTTCTTCTACAGATAAACATTTTGTTCACTCTTTAACTGGAAACAGACATCAGGGAGTTGCTCACATGACCACTGAGTCTCTTCTTAAGTTATTGAAGTTATTTAAGAAGTATTCAATTACATTTTTTGCCTTATGTTCTGAATTGACTGGAATTTATTAAGAAGTAAGCATTATCTGTGATTTTCAGTTATTCTTGTTACTCCACAGCTAGAGTTCTCGTTTCTAATACACTAAAAATTTTGGGGTTTAATTACAGGCTCTTGGCTACTTATGCTTCAAATCATATTTTAGCCTTTAATTTCCTTTTCAGTATCTACTGAAATGCCCTCATCTCCTAAATAAAAAAAAAAAGGGCAGTTTTTCCTGATGGATTCAATAATGAAAATCTGGACAACAAACTTTCCCATTAAATAGTTACATCTTTACATTGTTTTCCCTACAAAATAGGGGGTTTACTTACCCAGAGATCCCAGAGTGTTAGCCCATAATGCTCCTTGCCTTGTCACCATATTTAGAATTCTATAAAGGAGTTAAAAAGGTATTAAAACTTTAAGCACTCTGTGTTTGCATTGAGGCAGTGTTTATGATAGTAGGTGTAGTGTGTTTACACTATAGATTCAATTAATAAAACTGGAATAATGAACCAAAACCCCTTCAAAACAAAACAGTAAGGAAAGGCCCACGTCTTGGTAATAAATAATCCCCTCTGTCACATACTACAAATAGCAATGCGGGCAATAACAAGGGCAAATATTTAGTCCTGTCAAGTTATAAAAAAAAAATAACCTTTCTCTCAAGTTAAACTTGCCTCTTACCAATAATCTAGTTACTTCCCTTCAAATGACTTTCCAACCCTAGCTGATAAATGTTCCTTACGTGGTGTCTGCACGTAGCTACTGAGAAATGACTGATACACTTCTGCTGACTTAACTGGGCAAAAGACCTCCAAGAAAGCTTGAGTGCTCTTCTAGAAGGTGCGAGCACCACAGGGACTGTGTGTCAGGCAGCACGGTGATCCCTGCACAAATGGTGTGGGTATTAAAAGCAAGTCTGAACTAAATTGAGTCAGGAAAAAAAGAGGAAATCTTTTGCACTTCCATTTGTCAGACTTTGCACTCAACCAAAGGTAAAGTACCCTGAGTATTTCTGTCTGTATGCTTCCAGACTAGCACTAAAGAGGGAAAGCAAATCTTCAGCGCACTCTCAGGGAAGCACAATGCCACCTCTTTTTGGCATCAGCTGTCTCCAGAACGGTGACAACCTGAGCCAGAAGAAATGACTGATCTTTATCTCCCAGCAGTGTAACACTATCACAGGCACAGTACTGCTCTGGACAGCTGACTACCACTGGAACTTAGTTTATTATTTAAAGCAATGAAAGTGTCACAAATTATGTTTCTTCTGATTTTATTTTGTTTTCTACTACTTTTCCTTTTTTTAAATAATTTTCACTAGGAGACTTGGGCCATTACTAAATATGGTTAGGCAATGAACTAAACAATAATGGAAAACTTCATTTTGAAAGGAAAAAAAAATCCTGAAGGCTAGGGTAGCAACAATCTCCCCCCTAGTTACAACCCCCACCCACATTTTGTTAACATTACATCAATTCTGAATTGATGAGAAAATTCATAATTTTAATAACCATGGCATATGGTGAGATATTTGATGACAGGGGATTAACAGCAAAATTCAAATTCATTAAGAAAAAAAAAAGTATTTGTGTACATTAAGGGTCAATTTGAAGGAAATCTAGCTAGGCAAGTCTCTTTCCTGCACCTAATTAGGAAAACAGGGAACTTAATATACTGTTTCAAGGTGATGACCTTCAACAGGCCTTTTGGCTTGAAGGGCAAGGACTAACAGCAGCCTGTGCACTGACTGCCACCTGCTGGGCTTGACCCATCAAGGTTTGCATGTAACGTGTTTTTGTCTGACACAGCTCATTCTGAATATATAAAACATAATTTTATTCATCTAGAACATTATGGAAGAGTCATAATTATAGTGGGGATTATTTTGATTCTAACTCTAGAGACGGTAAAGAAAGGGTTGAAGAACACAGAAATTTTAAAAGGAGCAGAGCCAGTACAAACTGTACTGTGAAATATTAGATTCCTCTAAAATTCCTTTTTTCCAAAGTATTGTGGGAATGAAAATGGTTTCTCCCAGTTATTCCACTCCTCTAGTTTCCTACGTCTCCTTCACAGGCACTTTAGTTTAAACATAACTAGAAGAAAACTTCCAATAATTCTAGAAGGAGAAGCATGCTGAGGGGAAAAAATGTGCTCCTATCTTTACTGTGTTCATTCAAACAACTGGGTAAGGTGAAAACATGGGAATGCCATGGGTGTTTGTGGATGCTGTAATCCAGAACAAGCTCCATGCAACACTTGCTTGGCAGCAGGCACCAAGGTCATCCCTAATGCAAACCCAGGCAGGCCCAGCTTCTGCATTTAAATCTCTTCCTGGTTTTGAAAACTTCAGGATAGAACTGAGAACTTGCTCCCAGAGAAGTGACAGCAACAAACAGCTCTAAGTAAACTGTGCTGCTCTGGGAATATTTCAACATATAAAACCACTGTTTTGACTTTGAAGAAGATTTCTAGTACAGATCAAAGTAGTAATTTATTCTCAAATATTTAAGGTAAGTCAGAGGACATACCAATACTGAACAGAAAGCAAAAAGCTGGAATTGAACATCATTATAACTAAAAACACTTCATACCTTGACAAACACTGTCATTTGTCCCTGCTAAAGACATAAAAATATATTTATTTTTGCAGTATATTTAGGTCTAACCTTGTAGAAGCTGGAAGAAACAACTCTGTCACTAAGGTGTACTTTTTTTGGAGATTAAACACTTACTGTACATTTCTAGGTTTTGACCACACCATATTCTGCGTCTCCTTCAAGCCAAGTCGCAAACCATTCAGCGCACCAAATGCTGCCCCTAGTTAGCATAATATCAGTTATTACTTTTTAAGAAGAAAAAAGAAACAAAACTAGAAGCAAATACTGAGAATACGCTTCAGTGTATAACTGAAGTGAAATAGCTGTTTATGTAAGACTACATGGCAGGACAAGACATTCACAATCTCGTCAATTACTGTAGTACATGGGCGTTACCCGGGCAGCTGGGAGAAGTGAAAAACACAACTACCCACCTGTCATACAACATCCTCCAATGGTAAAAAAGGCCAGCTCAAATCTGCCTCGAGTTTTGTTGGCTCCCGTGGGCAAAATAAACTCATCTGTGTCCTGAGGGAAAACAAAACAAACACACACTTTTGTATTTTTCAAGGGTAGGTACTTCAAAGTCTAGGCTATATTAAATTTTTTCTTTAATCCGTACAATAAACTAAAGAAAAGACAAACACTGTTTATGGAAAACTGTTGTCTGTGCTAGGACAGAGATGGAATATACTAGGTATATACTTTAATAAGAATGAAAAAAGACTTGAAAAACTGAGAACTTTTTTTTCCCTAGCCATCCTAACCTTTTATAATTATATTAGGCAGCCAAGCAACTTGTGTTGTGTGGGTTGTTATTTGTTTGTTTGCTTTTAAATGACTATTTGCTTAATTATTTACTACATCTTGTAGCAGGCAACACAAGACTCGCTGCCCTCTAAAAACCTTCCTGTTGTCTGATTACACAGCACTGTTTCTTCACTAAGCACCCTACACAGATGCAGTAACGCATTAAAGTTTCCCACTACTCTGACACAAAAACTGCCTTATTTCCTTGCACGGAAATAAGTGACCTACTTTGAAGACATGAAAAAAGCAAGGAATAGACACAAAACTAGTGACGATCAGGCATGAAACATGTGACCTTGGTAGTTTTTTGCTTGTGCATCTTTCTCCTACAGGAGAACAGGCTTTTGTTCTCATAGATCAGATTGGTGTAAAAAGCTAGAGAAAATGGGCTGGTAACTAGCATATGCACAAGGTAGGCCAAAGCACTTCTTCCATACAAGACACTGGCAAGGTGCACACGTGTTGATATGCTAAAGCAGTAAGATCTCTATGCTTCTGTGCTTTCCAGTCATAGTACTCCTATTAAATTGATATATATATATACGACTGCAACAAATTCAGACCCAAATAATTGCATTCTAAGAGGTTTTCTTAGTCCATACTTGGTGTTAGATGTGGATGGCAACAGAGGAAAAAAATATGCAGCTCCTAAAATTGTGAATACTTTATCAATAAGCTGAAATCATAATATGGTTTCTATCTTCCCTGTAACTAGATATTTGGAGAAATTCAGTGTGTACACTAGTTAGCAGTTTCTAACAGTTTGTCCAAAAAGTCAAGATGGAGCAGTCACTGTCTGTATGTAATCCCTATGCTTCTACAGAGAGAACCTAGGAAGCCCATCCCCTAGGTTTCTGGCAAAGGCTGGCGTGCTATTTTATAATGCAGACCTGCTGAAGGTTACAAAAACATTGCAGAAAATTCATTGTTTTGTGCCTTCATTAATGAACTAACAAAGAAAGTGGGTTTTAAGGTCATGAGTTCCATAGTACTGTTCATGATTGAGGGAAGGCCAGGATCAAAACGTAATATTCTCAACTATAAGGCTGACTTTCCCTCTGCATTCTGAAAGCAAATGGATGGTCTGTAAATACAGGAGACCCTCACCCCTCTGTTCACACCTTCACAGGCCAAAAAATTTTAAAGGCTAATAATTTAAGTTGTATTTTAAAATATTAGCTGTGTCTTTTTCCTTGAATTTTTAGAATCACAGAAAGGTTAAGGTTGCAAGGGACCTGCAGAGACCATTAAGTGCAACCCCCCTGCTCAAAGCAAGGTCAGCTAGTGCTGGTTGCTCAGGGCTGTACTCGGGTTTTGCACATCTCCAAGGACAGAGACCCCACAGTTTGTCAGGGTAACTTGTTCAAATGAAAAACAAATATTTCTCGCATTTAAATGGAATTCCCTTTTATTTCAATGTATTTGCTAAACATAAAGAGCAGTGAAGTGTTACAACCCAAACTGGAACCTCTAGTGTTACATCAATAGGTATTTTTAGAACTGTTTCGTAAGTTACTCAACACACTAGTGCCAATACTTTCTTTTAAAGCAAGATATTTTTTTAAAAATTTATTAGTATACACACATTTTGTTCCAAAAAAAAAATCTGCTATACCATTTTTAACACCAACATGTTCCCAGATATAGTGCACTAACTAAATAAGATAGAGGCTATTTTAGGAAGAGGTCTAAATAATCACTTAGGATTTTTTTGATCACTCAACAACAGCAGGCAAGACAATCGTGCCAGTGAATCCACTTCAAACAGAGGCACATCTCCAGTTTTCTACCATTATGGGAATGTTACGCTGTAATCTTGACTACAACAACTTATAGAGAAAGAAAAATATAAAAAACAGCCCCCGGAACTGCATTCAGAGCCTTCCGCTTACAAAAGTAGTAGCAACATAGTGTACCATGAAACAAAAGGCACACAGACTAGCAGATACAACTGCTGACCTTCAGTGCTAATTTGCAAAACTTAATGTTCCCAGATATTTTCTATATATTTATATATATGTGGCTTATATTAACTAAATAAAATCATTATTGGATTAACTTAAACCTTTTCAGCTGTAGTTAATATTGCTGAGAAAGGAAAACATTACAGAATTTGAAATTATTTTATTTTCCTGGCCTATGGGCCATCATGTTATGTGAACTAATATTAAGCAGTGTAAGTACGATAGCTACATTATTCTGTAGGAAAAAAAAAAATAAATGGAAAACTCTACTTCATGATGGTTTCCCCTCAGCTGGGAAAACATGTAAGGAAAGTGGTGTGAAATTTGCTGCTGCTGTGACGACAGCACAGATGATGACAAAGCCTGTGTCCTGTGTGGGGTTTGGCTGAACACCTCTGTAAATCCACTGACTTAATCGCAGGCAGAAACTAATCCTTCAAAAGACTGGAGAGTTTCTGGCTGCTCTTACTGATTGAAGAGGCTCAGAGAAGGGTATGACAGGTGCCAGAACTCGTGCAAGGGTGTGAGGGGCAGTATGCCTCAGTGTAGGGAGACCTCCTCTCTTCAATAATGATGTGCTTATATTGATACAACAGCCTTACTTATTTTCTGTACTAAAACTGGTTTTCTTCTCCTAGGTTACCATAGACCTACAAGCTTTTATTAGAATACTGGAAAAAATCGTTCCTTTCAACTGTTCATCAGTTCAAGACCCCAGTACGCGTGGCACAGCACTGCAGGAATTTTGGGGTCTTCACATATGACCACACAAACAATGGAATCGAGTTCAACACAATAAAAACAAGCCGCCATCTCACCTGTACTAGATATCTGGGGTCCAAGTTTAAATATGGGGACAAAGGGCTCATTCCGGTTACTGAAAGGAAAAAAAAACCAACAATAGAATACTTCAACACCAATTTCCCTAGTTACAGTTTCACACCCAGTAAGTTAAAAGGGGGCCAGACCTCGTGCGTGGAAGAGGTGAAAATTCTGCCGTTAAGTTGCACAACTGATTAAAACGCGCACTGACACACACACACACACGTTTTCAGGAAGCGGAGCAGGAGCAGCACGGACGGGACGGAAGCGACATCTCCGTAACGGCACACCGAGGGCCTGGCTGTGGCGGGGGCTGCCTCCCTCCCCTTCCCTTCTCCCTCCCTCCCTCCTTCCCCGCTCCCACCGCCGCCGGGGACAGCGCTGTGCCTCGCCTTCCTGCCGGCCGGCAGAGCCCCGGCCCGCTGCCGCCGCGGCCCTTCCCAGGGGCCGGCCTCGGCCGCACCGCGCCATGTTGATTCCCGAAAGCGGCGGCGCGGCTGCCACCCCCCGGGCCCGGCCCCCCGCCGGTGGCCCCTGCGCGCCGGTACTCACGCGGCACCCCGGCCAGG